AAAATAACTTTAGTTGTCCTTGTAATAGTACACTTCCTGACTGAAATTATACAAAATAGGAACTGGAAACCTTCCTCAGGCAGTGAGGAACACTTCTTATGTCTATAGTTCTTTCTTCTCAGACCAGATACTTCCAAACATCCCTACTCACACACCAGCCGTGCAGTGCTCCCTCCCTGAAATCCTATCAATCACCTTGCTCAGGCAGCAGGTTTAAGCAGAAGACTCTAATGTAACAGGCCTGCATACTCCATGGAACAGCCACTGCTTGATTCCTTTTTTCCAAGTAATAATATTTTTCAAATAAATAATTTTTGTTTCAGATAAAGTAAACTGCATATCAGTAGCAAACATATTTTGTAGCACTAGAATTTATATTATGAGCATAAAAAAAAAAATAAAAAAACACAACAGATTTCTTACATTCTGCACTACAGCTTTGGTTTTATTTTGAAGTGTCAGACTCTGTGTCATGGGAAGCAGACATTCCCTCGGTGGTATTTGTACGCTGCCGACACAACAGACACTCAGCTTGCCAAGCTCTCTCAGCAGAACTCCATTAGACACAAAACAAGTTCATATTTTTTTATGAAAGCTACAGCAAAATTTAATGCATGAAGACTTTAATCAAGCAGCTATGTGATTGTTTAAAGGGAGTTTTACTCCAAACTGGTAGTTTGCAAGATCTGGTTTTGGTTTGGCTGCATACAGCGACCCAAGGCCCTCTGCTCCTACCGCACCAAGACCAGTTTGTCAGCAGGATCAGTCACCTCCAGGCTTTCTAGAGCCCTCAGTGGGTAATGCCTAGGGCTGGTGAGAAGGCACGACAGCAATGCTCTGCCATCTCTCACTGCTCTGCGGGGTGCTCAGCGTCCTCTGACAGATCATCTAACACCCTGTGATCATCTAACTAAATGTCGAGATGACCCATCCTCCAACCTGCAATCTTGACTAACTTGATTGACCCTTATTCACTTAAAGAAGATGATGATAACAATGCAAATGTCACTATCTGAGGCAGGCAACACTGCTCATACTGGAAAATTTTCATGGGGGTCTCCATTCTATTCATAAAGTGGCAGAGATCTTCTGAATGGTTGGTCTTCAGAGACCTGCCCTCTCCTCCAGCTGATGGTTTTGTTCCTGCATCTTACTCTCACATGACATACACACTTCACTTGTGATTTTAAATGTCTCTTAAATCTCTGCAATATCTCACAAACACAAACTTTCGTATATGAAAATTGCTTTGCTGTGCATCATATTGGTATCACACCGCTCACAAATTTGTTCTTCACAGGTAATGTGATATGGCTGTCATCTTTCTTCTTTAAAGGTGGGCTTGTTGAGAGACAGGCAGGCATACCATACGTCTGCTCCTAAATTCAGCAGCAAATCTAGGAGTGGGAAAGTCCAGAAATCCTTCTAGCTCCCTCTTCCATGGTGTAAACTGTACAAAACATGGCATGGACATTTAACAACACTGTCCTTGAAGCTTAAAAGACATAACTTGTATAAGAAAGTATCCCAACAGTACTGACTTATGAAAAAAGTGCTAAACCAACATTGGACGTGTACTGTAGAAGACTTGGATGTAAAGAAGAAGTCTTGGAAACACAAGTAAGCTAAGAAAGATTTCAGATCCCATTCCTGCAAGTAGGACCACATGGGAAAATCAGATCAGTCTCACTGACTTTGAGCGTGCTCATCCGAGACCAGCCTCCACTTCTAGCCAACAAAGTAACATATTCACCTCCTGCAACTGATAATTATTGCATTGAACCAAGCCATTTCCAGTACCTTTTTCAGTGTTTCAGAATAAGCTCCTGAAGTCCCTGTTTTTCCCTGTGAAATCTACGAGAACTTCTTGAGCTTCAAGAAAATTTTTAGTACAAAAAATGAAACTAATTTTAGAAAAAAAAATCTCGGAAATTGTCTCTGGACATAATCTGATTTCCTTAACTACTGCCTAATGATCAGTTTCAAGAAACGTATATTTTAAAAAAAAAGGCAGTGTGTGTAAATGCAAACAGCAGCTCAAGTCTTGCACAACTGATACCGCAGTACCCTCTTGTGGTCAAATGAAGATGTTTTGTCTAAAAACCTGAACGTTTTCTTCCATAAAAAAAAACAAAACAAAACAAAACAAAACAAACCACTCTAGACATCTTTTCCTTTGACTGAGTGAAATAACTCACATATTTTTCACAGAGGAATTTATAGTGCGTATCACCACTTGTCTGGCAACAACAAAAGACTAAGAGGAAGTCAAGTTCTTCTTCAGAATGATGGGCACTGACACTGCTTGTCAGATAAACTAATCCTAAAACAAGCTCCTAAGCAAAGGCACCATCTCTTACAGTGAGACTCAGAACATTTTTCAAGTTTCATATCCGGAACCAGAAAAAATAAAGATGCTATAATCAATTTATATAGACGCATATGCCATGAAGCCACAATAAACATCAACTTATTCTCCTACAGGGTGAAAAGAAGTACACAGTAAATCAGTTGTACCAATTCAAATTAGTTCTTTGCTTAAAAGCCCCAAGTTGTTATAATGAATAAAATGCTAAACAGGCAGATGGTGATATGAGGTGAAACAATTCAGTGTCTGCAGCAGTTCTTCTGAGCTGTTAATCTACTAAATAGCCTAAATGGGCTACTAGCTCTCCAGTAAGGAATTTGGAGTAATGCCCAGAAATGTCATCCTTGCACTCACCATGATGTGCTTTAATTATGCCTAACCACTACCTTAATGATTTTTCATCCCAAGACAAAATGGGATCATTTTCAAAATATCAGCTCTTGGTGATCTGGTTGTGGACCAACAGCTACATTTTAAAGTCATATCATTAAAATATTATTTAAAAAAAAAAAAAAAATCCAACTTATTTAAACAGTTATAATCCCATTCTTATATATTATTTCCAGTTAAGACTTCCTCCTTTTCTGAGTTTTTCTATGGGGTTTCAGACCAACAGATCTGGCTTTAACTACGAGCTCACTTTCAGTAAGATGTTCTGAGGCACTTCATAGCCCTACATGTGCATCAGGAGTTACAGCTCTTGTATCTTTAGAGACACCACTCAATGGCATAGACTTTAAACACCTGTTCACAATCTTTCTGTCCAGTTTATCTGATGGCTTACAAGTAGCAATTTGGAAGCTATGTACTTGGCTTAATAACCATTTGTAGTTTATTATTATGTTTAAGTTGCAGAAGTTGACTTGAAAGAATTATTAGAATTAAAGTAACAACAGAACTTTGTAAGCAAGAATTAAAAAGCCTTCCACGCACGGGAACAGACTTCCAATCAAGATCCTTTCCTGACCTGATCAGGAGCTAAAATCTCATGTGCACTGATTAATGCATTGGGTCTTCCACACATGCCGCAGCTTCCTTTTAAAGCAGTTAGATGCTGCTAAAGCAACATCCGCCAGCCAGCTACACACACTTCAGCTTGGAGAGGACCCTGGAATGAACGCAGCAGGATAAGCAGAGGAACAGAGACAACTGTCAGGCCAGCTTGGCAAACAGTTCATTTCTTCAGTTCATGATAATGCAGTGTGGATATATGACTTTTTTTTGGTTTTGGTTGAAAGAGATGAAAAACATGTTAGGTTTCAATTATCTCAAAAAAAACCCCAAGCAAACAAATAAAAAAATCAACTAAAATGTAATTCAAACCCAAAGCAAACATTGTGATCTGAGGTAGCGTTTACCTCTGCTTAAGTTATGTTATTGCAATCTGCAAATTCAGATCTAATTTTTCCAAATATAGAAGTATTTCTTGCTGAAATATTTCTACATGAAATGTTTAGCTTGTTATATAGCTGTAACTATTTTAAAATAAATTATTTGCCAAATTCAGAATGTATTTCCCAATACTGCAGGCAAGTTAGCCAAGAAAACCCCTAAAAAAGTAGATTCAGAGTTCACTAGCATTTACCAGGAAGATGAAGCAAGAGGCTACAATTCATCTAGAGCTAATCCACACTAGTCAAAAACAAGTCAGCCAAGAATTCAGAGGAAATTTATACTTAAAATACTCCATTTTCCTGCAAGGTCACAAGTACTTTAGGAAGTGACCTCACACCACAAAAGCCCAAAGGGCTGATTGTAAAGACAAACGCTGACATTTTGGATGCTGTTTTTAAAAACTCTCACTTTGTATACTAACAACCCCCTAAACTCACTTTAAAACTAGTTTGCATAGTTGCCTAATACCTTCTGCAGAAATCTCTACTTTAAAAGGACTCTTCATGATCTCTGGCTGCTCTGCTCTTAAAATCTGAAAATAAGGAGCTTTCAAAGCACAGATTCATTAAAATATCTTATTTTAAGCAAAGAAGCTCTGCCCCAAACAGAGTTCAAGGCCCCAGCAGCTGTCCTACTTGGTCTCTCCTTCCTTTCTGGTGAATATTCACAAGTGTGACCTGTTTCCAATGGAGACACTAAACACACTAGGGAAACCAGCAGCTTTCAGATTTTGTTTCTGCCACATAATGATGACAAAAAAAAAAAAAAAAAAAAAAAAAAAAACCAGCCTGATACACTCAGCAGCAATCTCTACAGCACCCTCTGCTACTAAACCAGACTTCATTGTTCTGAGGATTTTGAATAGGAGGTGGTCTCAGCAGCAAGAAGTGGTAATCACCTTGTACGCTGAGAGTTTGCTGGAAACAGCTGGAGATTCAATGGATTTCAGTAATAGAAATTTCTTACAAAATTGGAATTAACATGAAAATTCCTTCAGTGTTCAAGCAACAAAGCAACATAAAGCAGTAGGAAATGAGCATTAAATAGGAGAGAAGTAGAACAGTGTTGAGCATCAGCTGCCAGTGCTGCTGTGCGTGTTTGTTTTCTGAAAGCACTCCAAATCAGCAGCTAAAACAAAATGTCAGGGGAGGAGATTTGAAAGTTTTAAGCAATAGCAGGTTTAACTTTCTTAAGTCACAATATACCTGACAATACTGGGAATACAGTGAGTCTCAAAATGGACAAGTTGAGAAAGAGTTCTGGATTCAGGAAAAATAGCTCAGGTACATCTTGGAAACCAGCAACCACACCTCTGGGGCAACCAGCCTCAGCTCCATCTGTGTCTCTTGGCAGGACCCAACCCAGACGACCTGTCACTGCACAACCAGCTACTCAGGCCTGGGCAGATGAGCAGGCACCACTGCAGCAGGACCAGGTTCAACAGGATAAGATCTGGAGAGACCTGGTGGAGGCTGAACAGAGAGGAAGAAAGATGTGGTAAGTCGCTTGTTCCAGTACATCCCTCTTCTACTCAATCTTGACAATGCTCCCTGACAGTCTTAGGTCTTGATCCAAAGCCTACACTATCAAAGGAAATTTTCTTCTACAGGAACTTTGGATCAGACCCTAATGCCTTTCTCTCTAAGATTATATTGTCTCTGTTGTCCTTCACTGGACAAAATCTATGCTAGTATCTCCTGACATGCTGGGCTTAAACTGAAAAGAGATGCAAAGAATTACACACTAAGTATCTTTTAGCTTTATAGAGCTTTCCACAAGGAAGATATAAATGTGCCAACCTTTATAATTTATTTCAGACATGCTGATATTATCACCTCTTCTCATATTCTTGGACATAGCTGAAATGGAAGCTGAACAGAGTGTTCTGCCAGAATATGATTTTGTATTCCCAGTCTGTAAATCTACTGAACGTGCCCCATTGTTAGAGTGTTTGAGCAGACTGAACTGCACACATACAACCTAAGCTTTGGCTGTGGATACAACAATGACCTGAGGGAACCTGAAATTACGATCCTCTCTTTCTCTGCCACATATCTTGAATACGTGTTTACGTTCATGCATCAGTACACTGCATAAGCATGCCTATTAAAAGAATATCCCTCATTAAAAGTAAAATCAAATCCAGTTCCAACTGCTCACTAGCTAAGCTAAGGGAAAGGGAAGAAAAGGACAGAAAATCAAAGGACTTGTCCTGCAGTTCAACACCAGGTATAGAACAGAGATGAAGAGCCAAAACTCAGGTCTTCTGACTCCTCAATTTGCTCCTAGCACAGCTGCCTACCTGCACAAAGTACTCCCACGGGTGTTTGCCTGCAGCAAATATGGCTCTGGGAATTTCTACCAGGGACTTCTGCCAGCAGCCTAATGGACATTCAAAAAATAAGAAGCTGTGTCTAACTCAAGGCATGGTACAGAAGTTTGCTAGAGTGACTCAGGACTTTGGTATTTTATCTGCATTTGCACAAGGAATGCATTGTGGACATGCTATCCTCATCTTCCTTCAGGGAAACAAACAAACAAACAGCCACTTCTCCTGTAGTACAGGCCCTATATGAGCATAAAGAAGCCCTGGGCTTCACCACAGAATAGACAGGTTTCACTACAATGAGTTTGCATGTCCAAGAGCTGGGCTGTAGGCACTCAGTTGAGCACTAGGCACAGTAGGCATTCCAATACAACCAACATTACCTATTTTATTTAAAGACAGAACATTTTACACTGCATTTTTTAATTCTATTCCAAGGTACCAGAACTGGAGTTTCCTGAAAGACTATGACCAAATGGTAAGTTTCAAACATCTAACTGAAATCCAGGCTCTTTTTAGTTTTCAGCGATTTGAACTAAGCTAATATTTCAAATTGAAGCACACTTAGGAATAATCAGCAAAAGCTTTAAGGCTAAAATCTTTAGAAAAAAATAGAGAATTGAAGTGCCTTCCATCTGCTGCCTATGCCACAAAGAAACGCAGTACCTGTGGGTGTGCAATCTGCTTCAATATTAACAACTCCATAGAAAGACAAGTGCTAGGAGAACCAACTTCCTAGCAGAAAATTTGTAGGACAAAGTCATCATGCTGAAATCCAAGCCACTTACTAAAAATGAAACAAAAAACCTCCCACATCATGGCCATTCTAGGGCAGGCTAACTTCTGTCCCAGCTGACATTTTATGCAACACATGGGAAAGTTATTAATTTCCCTGTTATCCTATTCCCATGTAAGACGACTAGAAAAAAAAATTGTTTTACTTTATTTCTTCAACACTTGCATGTACATTCAGTATGACATTGTAAAGTACATGCAAATTCTAATTTCAAAAGCAAAAGTGCTGATAGTGATATTAATGGTCTTTGTTTTACCAGGGTAAGAAAAAGGAGCAGAAGCCACTGCCAAATTATATTCCTGTGTTCTCAAGCAAAGTTCCCAACTCAACCAACCAGACTATTGGCAGTCGAATGAATACCGAACTTGGCAAGGCTCTGGTACACATGGATTACTTCTTCAGCAGTGGAGCACGAAAGAGGAAACTTGAGGATGAACTCCAACCTTCCTAGTGCTTCAGTAAAAATATAGCAGCAACAAAGCAAGTTGAATGGTTCTATCCAACACACTCCACAGCATGTAAAACTTCCTCAGTCTTCTTCTCAGAGAGATCAATATCTAGCATGGATTTTCTTTCAAGAGCACAGATGGATGTTGTCCAACAATGCCATAGGAGGCATTCCTTTTCGTAGTTGTGGTAATAGGATCATATACAGAGTTAGCACTACAGATGTCATCCCATGCAAGTCTACAGTAAAGCTGCCACTAACATCAGAAAGAACAAGATTGCAGCCAAAAGGCAATTTCTTCCTGAATTTTTATCTCTTGAAAATAAAGAATTAATGGAGTGCCATTCAGATGAGTCCCAACATAAACAACATGCTTTCAATTCTGAAAGTGCAATAAAATGCAGCAGCTTGTTACATTTTTTGTACTTGGCCAAGGATTCATCAGCCTCTGTCAGCTGCATGTTTAAGCTTGCTTACTTACATCAAGTAATTTACTGTAAAGTACACTAAGCTATAGCAAGAATAAAATTTAAGGCACATGAGGCATGTTCTGTTTTTTCACCCCTCCCTGCTGAGGAAGAGCAAATTTTTTCACACTAGTTTTCATTTTTGTTTCTTTAGATTTGCTGCTTTTAAATTGCCTTCTCTTAACTCTCATTTTCCGATTTAGCTGATGGAAACCCATTGACAAGGAAGCAGGCTGTCACATTTTGCTCTGAAGGCATGTTGGCTCAGCACCCTGTCTTACACTCTTATGATCACCAACCTTGAATTTAAGAGGTCCATAGTTCCTAAAATTTGTGGTTGCCCAGGGAAATGATCATTAAGCTAAATTAACACAATACCTAAAGCCTGTTCACTACTGCATCTTCATTACATAGGTGCAAACTTTACGACCTGTTGTTCTGCAGGGAAAAAGCAGTAATCAGCAGAGCATGGAGAGTGTGCATACACTATCTATCTGCCTTTTGAACTGTATGTAGCCTCTGTAGGATCATGCTTAGTCCTAGGTGGAGGTCAGCATAGAAGCCATTAGCACTCCCTTGTTACAACAGGCTGCAATCTCTCACCAGACTGAGGTGGAGATGTGTGCGCTTCTGTTTTGCAGCTAAAGCCATTTGTTTTTATGATTAGACTTCAGCAGCAGAAGGTGGTTCAAGAGTACAAGAGATGGTATGGAACAATGTGATCACCGTCAACATTCCAGTCATCTATGGGGGGGAAAAAAAAAAAAAAGACACCATAGAAAGGAGAGCCAAATCCCACTCACTGAAGTCATGGCACCAAACAGTTCTCCTCCCGACTTCCTTGACACAGCAAGAACGGGAGGACTAAGGCTTTCAAGATGACAGCTATGCTATCTAAAGAATGAAGACCACATCATGCAATCAGCCCAAGTAAGGAAGACTGATTCCACTCTGTGCAGACACAAATTGTGTGTGACTACTATATTCAGACACATCAAATGAGAATCTATTCTTTAAAAAAGGCATCTTCGTGTTCAGCTAAAATGCTTTCTGCTCTCTCCTGTGAGCAGAAGACTGCACCAAGAACTGGTTTGTCTTCAGATATCTGAAAGAGGGAGAGGAGAGAGCAGATCAGGACTTTCCCTGTTCCTTTGTTGTCCAGAACCTCTTCCAAAAACTGTAGAGGTCACTCAGAGGTTACATACTTATTGGTGATTGAGTAATACTAACAGTCATTGCACTTATTCTGAGACATATTGCACAGCCTCAAGTCTTGCTATGGGTCACAGACCCCACACTGAGTGGCAGATGTCCAGTATCTGTCATGCTGAAGCTCCTATTCACGTAAGAACATTTGGTTTATAAAGCATGGGAATTTTGTTTTTCAGGACGAAAGCATCCAGAGCAACCCATCTCCTCACCTCCAGATGGCACTGACTCCACAGCAAGTAATGCACAGGCATGGGCACCTAGTTCTAGCAAGGCAGTGTTACACAATTCCTTTTTAATTGCAAGGGACAGTAAATAATTCCAGATTCTTGACTCCATTTGCTGTGTGTGAATCCAAAGAATCCCTCTTCCAGAGTTCCCACAAACTGAAGGGTATGGGAACGAGAATGATCCAAGCAGTGCACGACTTAATCCTTCCACTTACCACTGGCATTGTTTCAGTTGAAGCACTTCTCCCAGTTTTGGACAAGACCTTCATGGCTTACGCTAAAGATGTTGGCCACTAAGCAGAGTCTAGTGAAGCAGAGATGGTAGCTGGCATATGGGAAGATATATCTTATGAGGACAGATATGTAGAACATATCTCAAAGAGCATTCATATCATGTGTATGAATGGCAACAACAAATTTTCTTTCAGCAATTTCAGGAAGCCTTTACCAACGAAGTGTAGTCCTGATTGTGTCTGTAACCAGATACAACATCCATTGAGATGCCAGGTGGTTCCTGCAGGGGGTACTTGCAGTGATTACACATATACACCACAGTAAGACCCTTATACACCCCTGTACTCCTTCTCAGCTCTACTTCCTTGCACAGGTCACTTCAGTCTAATAGATCACAACAGGAAATCCTGTAGGCATACCTGAAGTGGAGCTAAAATATGCAAGGATTTTTAGCTCAATCATCAAAGTGTAAACCCTTGGAAAATGTAGCACAGAATCATTTAGGTTGGAAAAGACCTTTAAGATCATTGAGTTCAACCATACGGGTATGACAGGGGAGGGTGGAGTTGGACGCAGTGACTTGACATCTCAAAGGACAAAGTGATTGTTTAGAGAACAGAAGTTTCCCATATGGAACAGATCTCATAATCTATGTGATACAGGAACACTGTGTAGAGCTGGACACCTAGCTTTGTTCAATTATTACACCTTCCTTAGAAACGCAAAGTATTCTATACTACTGCAATCAGCCCTCCTCTGATACCCAGCACTGTGTTTCCAAAGGTAGTTTGGATCTCTCTGCTATGTACAGCAACCTCCAAAAAAGACCTTTTGGGAATATCCAAGGTCTAATCTAAACTTCCTTAGCATCTGTGAGTAGAAGGCAACAGATACCCTCTAGACACCACTTTCATTCCAAGTTTAACAGTCATTTTTATTCTACCATAATTAACTTTGCCAACTAATCCTTATTTAGATAAGCAGAGTTTCTTAGAAAGACTAGATGGTAACAACACTGAGATCTGTAAATAATCAGTGGAAATTCCATTTATCAAAGCGATTGTGTTGATACTAAACTGTGTTGTAAGCTTCTTGTAAAGTGTTCTTATGATGTATCACTTGTGCTTCAGTTTTATAAGCTTTTTTCCCTAGTGCTGCCAGATCTCAGCCAAGAGCTTATACATGTTTAGACAATTCATTTTCTGTATTTCAGTTAAAGAGCACGAGTGGGTAGCTATAGTAATTTAATTCTCCAGTTAGATATACTGCTTTCTCTGGTGGACTTTACAAGATTCTTAATACTCATTCCGAGTTGCTGCATAGATGTTTCCAGTGCCTCTAAATTTTGTGTGTCCTAATTTTCAGTTCTGCTTATAATAAAAAAGTGTGAAAAAGATATTTTTTAACAAACCAGATGTAAGTTCATATAAATCTGTATTTCTCATACTTTTAGAATACTCTTTGTATATAGTTCCCAGGTGGAATCTTAACTATAAAGTTTTGTTTAATGAGATCAATGATGACTGCAGATGAGACTTTTTTTTATAAACTGCTTGTAAAATTGTTTCTTGACCTTTAAATTACTCTAAAGTAAACAAAATAGCTAAATGTGTTTTCCTACAAAGAAAGTCTCATCATGCTGTGAAAATTACTGCATAAACAGTAAAATTCCTAGAACAGAGAAGGGAGAGGATAATAATGTATGATCATCAGATGGACAATACTACCAGTCCAGGCAACACGTTTGTCTGTACTAGGTACATACACGTTCATGTTGATCACTTTCTGTAAAGAACACTCTATGGAACAGAATTTCTGAAGTTCATCTTAAAGCAGACAATAGTTTTCTGAAGTGGGATATTTTTTTGTTTGTTTATTTTAGAAATCAACAATAATTTGTTAGTGCCTTAAGCTGCTCTTCCTAAATCCTGCCCAGATAGAAACCAACAAACCTTTCCTGAACAGCAGGACGTCTCCCTCCAAAACTCTACTTACTACTCTGAATCCATGTCAGGTATGCTTCCCCCTCTTTAGAAAATTCATATTTGCTTGGATGAAAACCTTTAAACAGATGCTTCTCCAGGAAACTCAGAAGTTCTGCCAAAGGCTGAAAAGGTGCTTACACAGTTCTGTCAGTCACAGCCCTGCCCACAGCCCTCTTCTCTCAGAGGGCACAGATGCCACAGACTGACTTCAGCTTGTAACCTTCTCAAAGCCTCTCTCAGAAGCTGTATGTATCCACAAAACCACTAGTACTTGGAAGTGGAATTTCCAAGTATCTGAGGTTACAGCCTCACCTCAGCACAAGTCATTTTGGCCAGGTCAATGGAGCAAAACCACTGCAAATGTCTCTTAACTGTCTCTTAACCTGGGGAATGCCCAGAAGGAATTCTCAGTCCACATATTGATAAATAGCATTAAGAAGTAATCTGCAAATGCACAGACAAAATAGCTATAAAAATTATGAGATTTGGTTTTACTCTATGACTTTGACCTGACCACTCCAAACTCTGTGTCTATTGTCTCCATTTACTAATGAACAATTATTATCACTGGATATATTTTATATGATCTGTGAATTAACATGTGTATTCAGGCAGTAAGTCTTATTTCAACTACAGGTATTGCTGAGAAAGAGAAACAAACCAAACCAATGATGTAGAGTAGAACCATCTGATACTATCACAATGCTTACTAGCTTTATATGTACATTTATTATGTCTTATTTCATGTCTTCAGGAATATTACACGTCAATACATACAATGCCAGTTCCAGATCCAAATGCTACAGCTCAACCACCTCTCTGCACTACAAACTCAATATAGGTTTTCTACGTAAAAAGGATAATTACAAATTTTAGAT